TGTCTTTTCTGCAGAGACACTCTTTCTGGCGGTGTTTCTCGTCCGCCATCTTGATCCTCCTCCTGGAGCTCAGAGTTCTTAATTTCTCTTCTACACCCTTCCCACAACCCTCAATTATTTTCCTTTGCCCCTGGAATACTCAAAGGCAAGAAAGACATTCTAAATGCAATTGTATTAGCTATGGCATTAGCTCGGTTGCTGTAACAGAGAAACCCCAAGGCATAATGGCTCAACTGAGATAGAAGTCTCTCTCTCCTCCGTATCACAGCCGAGGGAGGTGGTCTAGGGCGGCTTGGAGGCAATGGTGTCCTCCAAGTAGAGTTTCCATTTCTGAGTCTAAGGTGGATGATCAATCCTTGTCATTTCCCCAGCAAGAGGGAACAAAAGGAAGGGGTCAGGGAAGCACACGCACACTTGTTTCAGGGGCACGGGTTGCTGGTGGCACACATCACTTCTGCTCATGAGTGTTGGCCAGGGTCTGTTCACACAGCCACACAGGCTGCCGTTAAACCTCGGGTGTTCTGGTGTTGAAGCAGGATGGACATTGTTGGCCAGCAGTCTTTGCCACAGTTGGATGGTCCCAGTTGGATGTTGGCTATGGGAACCTGGTGGTCCACAGGCGGAGGACATCGTCAGTCTCCCAAAAGGGAGCAGGATGGTGTCTTGTTCTCTAACCTGGTCCCAGGGCTAGGTCACATCCGCACTGCTCTGTAGACTGTATTTGGAGACTGCTGCAGATGACGCAAGTTTAGCAATTGCCTTTTGAGGATGTCAGCCTTAAATGGAAACCACTGCAGGAAATGTAAACATGTCTATTTTCTACACTTTCGGATAATGGCTCTAATGGCTTATTATGGGGTACAAGTTGGTATGGTGGAAGGAGTGTGGATGAGAAGGGCACTAGAGCAAGAAGCTAGACTGGAAATCTTAGTTGTAAACCTTTGAGCTAAGCTTATGGTCTAACAGCCTGTTTCCATGACGCTACTGGACACCACAAGTACAACAAAGCAGCACAAATCTCCATCAGCCAGAGGCTAGCCACCTTCAGAGTGCCGTTCAGAGCCTTCAGGAGGCTCTGACTCCAAGGAGCCTGCCGACAATAAAATATGACGCTTGCCATTAATCTTTCTTGTCCATTGATGGAAACGAAGCCACATACAATCTAGCTTAAACCAAGATAACAAAATAGAGGAAATGAATTACATTTCCAGTAGTGGGTTGAATGTTAGTGCCCCAAAAGATATCTCCATCTCCGAAACCCGGAACCTGTGCGTATGAACTTATTTGGTGGAAGGGTCCTTACAGACGAAATTCAGTTAAGGATCTTCAGATGAAAGCATCCTGGATTATCTGGGCGGGCCCTAACCTCACGGCAAACATTCCTATAAACTGCAGAAGAGCAGACACGGTGCAGCAGGGCCGGGGAGCTGCAGCTGCACACCAAGGAACACCTGGAGCCAGCGAGAGCTGGAAGAGACAGGAAGGGCCTTCAGAGGGAGGGCGGCTCTGCTGACACCTTGATGTCAGACTCCCAGCCTCCAGAATTGTAAGAGAATAAATTTTCTGTTGTTTTAGCCACCACGTTTGTTATGTGGTTTGTTATAGCAGTCTCAGGAAACAAATATGTTTTCCTATACCCTCTGATGCTGATCTCATGATGGCTGTGGTAATTTATTCTTGGCATATTTCAATCTTTACATGATGGTAGTCATACTCTTTTTCCTTTTGTCTTGAGCAGTAGACATCTTTTTACATACAATTTGAATTTGTAATGTTTTCTTTCTTAACAAGCTGCAGAATTCTTTCTGCTACTTTCTTAGGATTTTCTTTTTTGCTTCATTTTGTCCAAGAGATGTTTAAACCAGCTCATATCTGGAAATGTGCCTTTTGTCAGTTTTCCTAGCAGCTCGACACAGAGGCTAATGTATCTCATAAAGCCCTCAAAAAGGGGGCTGAGTACAGGGCAGAGTTCTTTAGTCCCCGAGGAGGAGGAGGAGCTCTCATAGCTCTCCGAAGCCACCTAGCTTTCCCTGGAAATAGAGTCATGTCACCGATGCACAGGCAGAAGTGTCTGCAGAAACGCAGAGGATGACAGTGTTTGCATTCGTCTGGGCCAGCGTTTGGTTTGGCCAGCACATACCTCCGCCTAACTCCTCAGACTGACTTTCACGGTGGCAGGGTTGGGATCTGGTCATTCTGCCAACTTTCCAGACTTCCCTCCTCTAGGCTGCCATGTGTGCTGTGGCTCACGTTGCTTCTCATAGCTACACTGATCCTTCCCTTCCGTCTACTCTCCAGAATCCTGCTCATCCGTAACAGCCCATTGAAAGTGTCATTTCCCCAGGGAGACTGTCTAGGCTGCCCTAGGCTCCAGTGATCCCTCCTGCTCTGGACTGACTCACAGACTCTACAGACTGGTTTGGCGTTGGTAGGGCCCCTTGGGTTATTAACCCCCTCTCATTCCAGAGAGACTGAAATCTAGCGGGCAGATGTCTTACCCTCCCCAACCTCGCTGCCCCGCATTTAGCAGTGCTCCTCCTTGTGGATTCAGCCAACCTGGCGATGACTTCTTTCTCTCTTGCTTGGAAAAGGCCGAACATAAAGATGGATAGCAGCCCCGCTTTCTAGTTCCATCCCAAACCTTGATGCTGTTCTGGGAATGCCTAAATGTTTTTCATGGACAGTTAAAGCCTGCTTAATTTGTTTTAGCACCAAATAGCATCTCTGAGTTATAGAAGTTCGGTCAGGCAGCCAGATACCAGGCAGATTGGGCAACCGGCCGCGGCAGGCCCCCACAGCCGACTGGCAGCGGCCACGCGGCCCAGACCTCCTTACCCGTTGTCTGCTGGCGGGGGCGCCGCCGCGGCAGCTGGGCCCTGCTCCCCGCCCCACCGTGTGCAGAAGCAGAAAGCACGAAGACATTGTCCTTGCTGTCTTGCCAGGCCCAACCTAAGGGTTCAGGCTGATGGCCCCAGGACCAGGCCCTCCTTGGGCAGGCGTGTGGGTGCCACCTATTGGGTGTGGGCAGCACAGCATGGGGCCTGGTAACACCACGGCTGAGAACCTGGGTGGCGGAATTTGAGGAACGGAGTTCTGGTCTACACTCCATTCCTCACTAGCTACTTGATTTCTTTGATTTGGCTGTTCCTCATCTGTACAGCATAGAAATATAATATTTAGCTGCTTCCTAAACTTAACAGGGATAAATGAGATCACGGACTTAAAACATTTAAAAGAAATCTGGCTGATGACAAGCATTCAATGAATGGCCACATCAAAATCGCCACGTTCTTACGTCATAGCATCTGGGCCTGGGCCTCGCCTCACCCCCACCTGCCTGACCCTTTGTCTGCCACCTCCACAACTGCCACCTGCTCCATTGTGGCTGCCATCTCAGATTCACGAGCCTGTTCTCTCCTGTCATAACTGCATGCTCTTATCCTTACTTCCTGGACTCTCTTTCTGCTGACATTCTCTTGGTGACCTCTGCCCTCCTCTGTGTAGAGAGCTGTCATCAGAAGGCAACGGGCCCCTTCCTTCCATTCCTTAAAGAGCCGTTGCCGTAGGTCTGTCTGCCAAGAGTCTTGCCCGTCGCGAGAGGCACGTGGAGAAGTGGGCGAGCCTTGGTGTGGCGGTTTGGGTTCCTTGTCGTCAGTATTCAGTCAGGTCATGCCACAACATCCTGAGAAAGGGAACAATTTTGGTTCATTCTGCTCTAAAAAATTACAGCTTAATGTAATTTTTAAAATGTGTGTGAGCCAGCGATAAAAGTTCTAATCTCTGCGAAGCACGGGAAGCAGCGCTGATGCAGCTTGGGAAAGTGCCCGCTCGCCTCGTCTCCCGGCGCGGCCCTGCCCTCCCCAGTGCAGGGCTCACCTCGCAAAGGCGTGGGTGCCAGAGTGGCACTTTTTAGACCAAGAATGGAGTATATTTTTTCTTTGCTTGCAGTTTCGTTTTAGCATTTGGGGGAAGAACTTGGATTCTCAGAGAGAAAAAAAACTTTATTGATTCGGATAGCTCCTCCTTTCCTGCTTGCATTTTTTGTAGTCTTTCTTACCAGTCATGAGGGTTTTATAAGGGCATCCTACAGGAGTCTAATTTTGAGAGAGAAAAGGAAAAATGCTTGAAAAGATCTTCCTAGAAGGAAACTCAGTATGTAGCTGATGAGCTGGACTATTCAGCACTGAATCACTGCAGTCACTCTCTCTGCACTTTCTGTTAGGATCCTCAGCCTGGGGAAGCCCACGTGTGCGTTCAGTAAGAGCAGGGCCATGTCTTACTCATTTGTGTAACCTCAGCACCGGGTTTATTTACTGGGATCACTTGTTGAGAAAATGAAAGAATGATTGAGCTGGAAATAGGTCCAAGAGCAGCTTTGTGTTTGGACCCAATTTTATTTGCTGTGTCATTAGGTGTTTAGGTAGGTTTTATTCATTTATTAAGCATTCTTTGAGCATCTCTTGTGTGGTGAACACTTTGCTAAATGAAGCAGGAGAAAAGGTAAAGAAGGCAAAGCCCTTGCCCTGGAAGAATTTCTTTTAAGAATTTTCCTGCTTTCCTTAAAACCACTCCAGATCTATAGAGTTTTCCACTGAAATATTTTTATATTAAAAAATTAAAAATAATATAAAAATCCATGTACCCTGGTCATTTTGGTCATACAGGCTTTGCTTTAGTTTTCTAAAAAGCAAAATATTACCTATAACACTGAAATTGCCTATGGCACTCCCCTCAGTCCAATTTTTCTCCCTCCCAGAGAAACTACTATAATGAATTTGTTGTTGATTCAGTTCACAATTTTATACTTTTACTAGAGAATATACAATGAATTATATTGAAGATAATATTTTTATAAATAATAAGCCAATGTCTTTAATTTTTACCCTTTAAATCTTAAATCATCGAAGCTGGGTGTAACATTCAGGGCTGACAGTCTTAGAACTTTGATCAGCGTTTTGTGTTCTTTCAATCAGCTACCTCCTGTCTTTCTTCAATTATAGAAAATTCTTAGCTGGGATCTCTTTGAATATTGCTTCTCACCATTGCTGATATTCTCTCAATCTGAAATTCACATCAGGTATGTTTTAAAGACTTTTATTCTAGTATCAATGCTATTAAGTTCCCTACATCTTTTTATCTTTATCTCTGTATTTGATGTGCTGGATTGACTTCCTTACTCTTATCTTTAAATTCACTAAGTCTCTCTTTGACTGTATCCAGTCTAGAGTTTATGCCACCTCTTACCCTTTAATTCTTTTTTTTTTGAGACAAAGTCTCACTCTGTTGCCTGGGCTAGAGTGCTGTGGCGTCAGCCTAGCTCACAGCAACCTCAAACTCCTGAACTCAAGAGATCCTCTTGTCTCAGCCTCCCGAGTAGCTGGGACTACAGGCATGTGCCACTATGCCTGGCTAATTTTTTCTATATATTCTTATTTGGCCAATTAATTTCTTTCTATTTTTAGTAGAGATGGGGTCTCGCTCTTGCTTAGGCTGGTTTGGAACTCCTGACCTTGAGTGATCCTCCTGCCTTGGCCTCCCGAGTGCTAGGATTTTAGGCGTGAGCCACTGTGCCCGGCCGTACCCTTTAATTCTAATGACCATATTTTTCAATTTCAGGATTTAAAATTGGTTCCTTTTCATATCCATTTGTTTTTGATTCATATCTGCCTCCCAAATATGTTTAAAATCATTTTGAGTTGCTTGATTATTTTTGTTTAATTGGGCATGATTTTATTTTCCAATTGGTGAATGCATTTATTATTTTTCTTTTTGTAAAGTTATCTTTCCCTCTATAAGGTTTATTTACTTATTTATTTTATTTCAAAATATTAATTAAGGGGGTACAGCGTTTTTCTTACATGGATATCATATAATGCTTAAATTAGTCTGGGCTTTTGGTAATTCACTCTACCCAATAATTAAGTTTTTATCCCACACTCATCCCTTTTGTTCCCCCCTTCTAGGTTTCTCGTATGCTTTATGTTGCTTTGTGCTCATGTGTTGGGCTAATGTCTATTAGCTCTCACTTATCAGTGAGAATATATGGTGTTTGGTTTTCCATTCCTGAGGTACTTCACTTAGGATAATGGTCTCCAGTTCACTTCACATTGCTGAAAATGACATTATTTCATTTTTTTTACGGCTGAGTAGAACTTCATGGTCTATGTACCACATTTGCTTTATCCACTTATGAATTGATGGACAATTAGGTTGATTCCACATCATTGCAATTGTGAATTGTGCTGTGATAAACATTCAAGTGCAGGTGTCTTTTTTTATTAAATGACTTCATTTCCTTTGGGTAGATACCCACTAGTAGGATTGCTGGATTGAATGGTAGGTCTACGTTTATTTGTTTTCCATACAAAAGTCCTGGGTGGTAAATTTGTTTGAGGCCCAGGAGCAAAGATTTGCAGCAGGCCTGCTGGAGGTGTCCAGGGCTAAGCCCCGAGGCCCGAGAGCAAGAGTCAGCAGTAAGTGTCCGTATTCACTGGATCTCCAGCTCTCGGAGCAGGGCTACGGCCTGCACGGGTGTCCCCCAACCCCCGTCCGAACCAGATTTCTTGTTAGAGAAATAGGGAAATAGAGCTGCTGAGGATGTGTTCTCTATCTTTCACAGGCCGTGACAGTGCTCCATGGTAACATCGTCCCTGCCAGGGCACCTCTGAATGCAGATGAGGCCATGCATATGAAAGCACTTTGTGAACAGGACGGTGCTCGGTACATGCAGATCGCCCCTACGAATTGCACACGTCTACTTGTTCACCATGAGCTATCCTCCTCGGTCTAGCCTGCTTTGAAATCCATCAACCTGATATCTCAAGTGGGATGACTCACTGCCACAATGTTTGAAATGTGATAGGCTTGGCAGGGGATGTATGCACTGAGTTTGTCTCCCTCCCTAGCCCTGCCCTTTGGCCACATTTTGTCTCCCTGTAAGTGAGAAAACTTGGGGAGTTATTTTTACAATTTGTTATTACATATGCATTCATTTGACCAATTCATCTTGATTTTCCCTAAGTAGCCCTTCCTCCCTTTCCAAGGAGCTCTGTTGTAAAGACAAAGAACTGGAATGTCCAGGGTCAGTTAAATCTTAGTGTGTGACCTCAAGACAGTCTCAGAATTTTTTTTTTTAACCTGGGACTCTGACTCTTATTCTGGAAAATATAAACTATGTATAGTGGTTTTTATAGGTTGTAATGCACTCAGCAAAAGGAACGCAAGGCTTGCTCATCTTTTATAATAAGCCTTATTGGTTGTGGTAATTATTACTACAGCTTGTCAGTATTTCCAGCTCTCCTCCCTTCCTGGCAGGTGGGCAACTACATTTCCCAGCTCCCTTGCATTAGCTGTAATGGGAAGTGACATGTGTCATTTCTGAGTGGAAACACTTAAGAGCAGAGGCGTGAATCTCCGGATATGGCCATTGTGGGGGCATATGTTGGGACAGAAGTGCCACAAGAACATCTGGGAGGCTGATCACCCTAAGGAGATGGCTGCTCTGAAGAGCCCCCCAGGCCCATAGCAGCAGACTTAATGTGATGAGGAAAAGGCTTCTGTTGTGTTAAGCAACTGAAATTTTAATGGTGTTTGTTATCGCAGCAAAACCTATCTTATCCTAACTCACTCATTCTTGCCTTCACAGTGGCAGGAGGTTTTAGTTAGCTTCAGAGCCCTCTGGGTCCCTGGGAGTGCCATAGGGATGCCATGAAGAAGCAAATGAGGGGGCCATGGGAAAATGAGACAGCAGTTTCCTTTTCAAGTAGATGTTTGCTTTTATCTCATCTATGTAATGGGGCTCCCAGGAAGATGACTTTTGAAAGCAAAGCTTAACTTCTAAAAAGTTACTTGATGTGTTGCTGCACTATTGCAAGGATTCCCTCTGAACTCCACCTTCCTGCAGCAGCCACTGAGGTTACTTCCTCCATCCTTGACTTTGTGGTCCATGTTTCATCCATGTTCATTAGAAGTAAGACTTCAGAAGCCCACCTTGTTGTCACACTGACTATCCTTACCTCATCTGCCATTCTCTGTCCTGGCCCCTTGGTCCAGTGCCTCCTCTGTAACTGCAGCTGGGCTGGAGGGACTGCACAGTGCTGGGCTGGCAGCAGGGAGGAGTGGAGGTCAGGGACAGTCAGGAGATACCCAGGATCAAGACTTGCGTTTGAGAAAGGCGATCGGTGGAACGATGGCATGTGTATGAGGTCATAAGATTTGGAAGTTAACTTGTATGTAGGGAGCAGCACATGGAATGCAGGACACCTGATGTGCATGCTCACCTGTCACCCTTCTTGCAAACAAAATGTGGTTCTGTAGGGAGCTCCATTTGCCAGGTCCTCTCTGGACTTCACACCCTTTGCTTGAAGGCATGGGCTTGGGAGGGTGAAAGAGAAGGAGTGGGTGGCGGCTCCATCTCTCTAATCAGCCCTGGGTCACAGCAAGCCACAGCCCTGCCTCTTTGCAAGGGGACGATAACTAGAACCAGAGGACAGTGGGACTTTGGGCATGTGTGTGACTTGGGGTCCTGCGGTGGGAGAGGAAAGTGTGCTTTCTTTTGCTTCTTGGATGGCAGCGATGTCATCGTTGACTGAGCCAGCACTGCCACGGAGGGCACCTGCATGGCAGCAGGGTGGCTCCTTCCTGTCCCCAGTCTGCTGCATGCCGTTTGCTGGCACCACCAGGCCCTCCAGATGAACACAGCAGGCAGACAGCAGGGGAGGGGAAGGTGGGGCAAGTTTGGTTTCTGGCATGAATCTCACAATGCAGTCTTCATATAGACTGAGAGTAGCATGGGAGAGAGGCGTTTACGGAAGGTGACTTGTGTGTTGCCCAGCAAGCTGTCACCTCGCCTTCTGACCCAGCTGGGCAGCAAGTGCATCACGTGTGTCTTAGAGTAATCTCCCAGTCTAAGCAAAAAGCTGGACTGCAGGAAGAAGCTATCATGAAAATTTACCTAGACTATTGAGCAAAAACTCCTCTGCTGGACTGTTTTAAAATTTTTTGTTTTTGTTTTTTTTCTGCATACAGGTCAGCTGTTGGGCCCAGCCTCACACAGAGACTCAGACCTTTGAGACTAAAATAGCCGTGACTAGGCAATGCCACTGGTAGTCTAAATAACTGCCTTCTCTCTTTAAATGCCTGCATTGGATTTATTGCCAATGGTTGGATCGATTCCTCGGTGCTCAACTGCAATCCAAGTCTTTAAGTCTTTCTGAACCTCCACTTCAGCTACTTCATTGAGATGGATGGGCTGGGGGTGCCACCCCCAGGGCAGAGAGCTCTGTCTGCATGGAGCCTTAGGGATAAAAATACACCTGGCTACGGGGGCAAAGGAGCAGAGAAACAGTCCCTACGTTCACTTCCCCTGGTGCCTGGGGGCCACGCGACCTGCAGCTGCTGGGACAGCTCGTGTGGGGCGGGGCGTGCACGGAGGCCGTCCTCACAGGGGCTGCATTTGCTGAGTGTGAACAATTTCACACTTGGGTCTCTGGCAGTCCCAGCAGGTCCATCCCTGCTTTAGTGGAGAAGCTAAAAGCTTCTTCAGGTCAGCAGGCTGTGCCTCTGGGTCCCGGTGGCCTCTGGGGGCAACCACAACAACACAGAGCAGGGAAGAAACAGCTCGTGACCTCGTCTGTGTTTTCAGTGATTGGCGGCCGCCAGCCTGGCGCTCTGGCCAGGCCCTGCCAACTGCCCGCCTAGGCCCACATTGCCCTCCTCATCCAGCCTGCCTCCGTGGGGACAGACAGCCCACGGGCCCTCGCGTGTAGCTGGTGTGTGCCGTTGCTGCCCTCTCCCTGCAGGACAGATCCCCAGGGGCCCTGTGCCCCCAGATCACACAGTCTGCCTTGTGTGCATTTGGGTCGCAGTGAACGTCCCAGCCATTATAACTTACTCTGTGATCCCTAGCTAGCCTTCAGAAGTCTAGGTAGGCAGCTTTTGGCCACAAAAAGAAGACACTACCTATATTTCCAAGGATTTGAGTAAAGCTTGAAGTTGGTGCAGACATTTCCAGCTCCTTGGCAGGTCTTTTTCTCCCGAGAGAAGCCTGGGGCCCCAGGGCTGTGTCCAGGGCCTTGGCTCCCAAAGGCAAGGCTCACTCGCACCGGGCGGGCCCCTGGTCGCCCGGACCTTCACTGCAGAGGCAGACTCTTATTCAGAATATCATTTAAAACTTCTTCTGGCTATGATACTTTTCTTCATTCCTTTACTGGAATCCACCATGTGGCAACCCTGGGTGAGCAAATGGCTTAGACCTGCCTGGACCCCAGTCCCTTCCTCAGCATGGGCCCCATGGGTGGTGACCTGGCCAGTGCGCGGGCCTTGCTTGGGAAGTAGAGGCTGGCCACCCCCACCGGGTCCCTTGTGGCCAGCTTGTCCTGTTCAGTTCAGACATTTCCCCTCCTTCCCTCCCTCCCTCCCTTTCTCTCTCTCTCTCTCTGTCCTTTTTTCCTCTCTCTCTCCTCTCTCTCTCCTCCCTCTCTCTCTCTCTCTCTCTCTGTCCTTTTTTTTAGGACTGGAGTGGTCAATCTTCATGATTCCAATTCTTTCACTCCTGAGCATGAAAATATTGATTGCAAAAGCCATTTGATGTTCATGAACCCTTTGGAACTTTTTAATGAGCTTCTAAGTTTTTTGGATCACAAAGCTTGTGTTTTACTGAATCTGAGCAGCATTCTTTGAGAAAGGTCAGAAGGCTGTTCAAACTGAGGTTTTCCTAGGCCAGGTAGGAGGTGATTGCTTTACATGGAAAAGGGAAGGTGGACCCTCAGTGATTGTAGGCCCAGGGCGTAGTGATAGCTATGGCACATTCATGCACTTGCTACATGCTGGCACTGGTCTAAGTGCTTCACGTGTGTGTCATCTCATGGACCCTCCTGAGCAGCCCAACCAAAGGGGTGGGTGCCATAAGAGGGAGCACGGAGCAGGGGAGCACCCTGTTCCCCACAGCCTGCCGCCTGCAGTTAGAAGCATGCACAGCAACATGCGTGTACCTTGAAAGCGTGGTGCTGAGTGGGGAAAAAGAATAAAAGATATGACGCAATGCTATTTAAGCTAAAGACATATGCACCCCAAATAGCAATATATATTTTACAAGAACACTTAACAAATAGAAAGGTAATCATTAAATACATAGAAATGATTGCTTATTGGAGGGATGGAGAATGGAAATAAAAAGGAATAGTTAAGTAAAGCAAGGATTTACCTAAACCAAAGATGAGAATGTGTCATGAACTAAGGGACAGCATTAACTCAGCCCTCTGAGCTTCACCCCTACCCACAGAGCCCTGGCTGGCTGGGAGGGGCGCTGGGAAAGGCTGCATCTACATGGCAGGCCAGGCGTCGCCGGGCGTGCGAGGGGTTCCCTGATGTGTGAACACGGCTCTGCCCCCAACATCTGAGCAGTCTGAGTCACAAATAGGCCCAGAATCTTAGGGACTGAGTAAAGCAAAGCAGGGTCTGACCCGCAGGCTATTGCGTATGTGTTGAGTCAGAGAGCAGAAATGAAGGCTTTGCCTGAAGCAGAGGGAGCGGAAGCGGGGCAAGGACAGAGGCAGGAGGGGCTGCGCACAGAGCACACGCCCCGCACAGCAGGCTGGGCGAGCACGGGCACAGCATGGGCACAGGTGGGGCTGGAGCGAGTCAGTGAGTGCTGCTTAGATGGGAAGCTTCCCCTGTGTTGCTTAGGCAGGGTGGCTCCTTAAACAGGTTGCTCCAGGACAAACACTCACTCATTGGCCCAGGATCCGACAATAAAATTGTCCGATACTCTTGCTTGTGTCTTCATTTGACCTGAAGTTACGTTCCGTATTTTGCTAACCTAAGAGAAGTCAAAGCAGTCCGGGATTAGGGTCAGTTACATGCATGATGGAGTGATTGGGCTCAGTCCTAATGATTCCAGAGTTTTGATTAGCCAAGGTATTTCCTAGTGGCAGGGCTGGGTCCCCTCACAGAACGGACCAGCCTATGCACACTGGGGACAGTCTGGGACTTGCTGTCATCATGCAGGATGGACATATGTAGCAGGGGCAGTGCCTTTCAGTGGCATCTTTCTCTGCCGTGGCATGGCCCAGTTTTCCCTTTAGGGAGTCGAGCCGCCCAGCTAGCCCAGTGAGTCACCTCGGACAGGAAGAATCCAGCCATCAGAGCACCCTGGCCGTTCACCTCATGGACACTCAAAAAGCAGCCTCAGATTGGCAGGTTCTTAGGTCAACTTCTGAATTTTCTTTTTCCACATTTGAAATCACAACTGTTTCTCACATTTTCTCATAAGGCCCATCTCTTTTCCTTTAAGGAAAATTCGTTCTTTAGCTAAGGCAGGAGGAGGCCTGGCACGTTCAGCATCAGCAGAGACTGGAGTGTCAGGTGGGAGCTGGTGGTCTCTGCAAGGACCTTGGCTTTCGTCTGCGTGGGACAGGAGACACTGCCGGGCTTAGAGCAGAGGAGGGCCGTGACGGGACCTGGTATTTAAACAATTTTGGAACACAGGGACCTTGTCTTAGTCATTTCTGTAATGTTAGTGTCAGCAAATTCTCTCAAACCTGGGAAATGCTTAAAAAAATTGAACAGAGTTGTAGTACATTACTAAAAACAAACAGAAAAAAAAATATGGCAGTGACCATGGTCATTGATAAGAGCAGGAGTTGTACTCATTAAATTAAAATTTTTATTTATCTAGTTTTTTGAGACAGAGTCTGACTCTGTTGCCCAGGCTAGAGTGTTGTGGCGTCAGCCTAGCTCACGGCAACCTCACCCTCCTGGGCTCAAGCGATCCTTCTGTTTTAGCTTCCCAAGTAGCTGGGACTACAGGCATGCGCCACCATGCCTGGCTAATTTTTTCTATGTATTTTTAGTAGGCCAATTCATTTCTTTCTATTTTTAGTAGAGACAGGCTCTCGCTCTTGCTCAGGCTGGTCTCGAACTCCTGAGCTCAAGCAATCCTCCCACCTTGGCCTCCCAGAGAGCTAGGATTACAGGCGTGAGCCACTGCGCCTAAAGTTTTTATTTTAAAGTCTCAGTGTTTACCTACTTTCCAGGACTTAAATGCCCATATTCCAAAAGCTCATCTACCAATGGGTACCCAGTGAAAGCCGGCCCCTTCTTTTTTTTTTTTTTTTTTTTATATACATATCAATTGGCCAATTAATTTCTTTCAGTTTATAGTAGAGACGGGGTCTCGCTCTTGCTCAGGCTGGTTTTGAACTCCTGACCTTGAGCAATCCGCCCGCCTCGGCCTCCCAAGAGCTAGGATTACAGGCGTGAGCCACAGCGCCCAGCCAGCCGGCCCCTTCTGTAACATTGATAGAGCTTCCTGCAGCCCAGGAGTCTCGGCGTCTGGCTGGTACCTCCGCCCAGCCAGGACTGATGGGCTTTCCACAGTTTAGTTCCCAGCCCACAGGTTGTGAGAAATATCGAGCATATTCAGATGTGAATTATGTTGATAATGTCAACCATTATTATTATAATGCCTAGGAAATCATGGAGCCAAAATAGCTTTTTCATTCATAAAAATAAGCTTTTATTCTCTGTCCCCAGCTGACATGCTTCCGTGGAGGGCTTGTCTTTGATCTGCTGTCTTTATTTTTGGTTTGTTGGGGGATCGGTTTGTTTATTCAGCAAGGCTGTGAGTTCACTAGAGATAAACTCAGGAAGGAAAGCAATTGAAATTCTGATTGTGAATTCCGATTAGTCTCTTATGGCAATTCTAGAATGACTCTTTTCAAAAGGGTTCTCAGAACTTTGAGGGGAAGACTGGCTGGGGAGTCCCCAAGGCTGGAGGACAGACTATTGTAAAGCTGTAAGGGTTCCTGCTCTGGCTCTGTCACCCATCAGCTGGTGACTTTGCACATTACTCCTCTCTCAGTGCAAAGGGAGAAGGGAGAAGCCTTCACTGAACTTGTTCATGGGCTCAGCATCGGGCCAGGTGCGAACAGTGCATGACAGTCTCACCGTATGAGTAACTCTGTGACATGAATGTGTTTCCATCTCACAGGCAGGGGAATGGAGGCTCAGAGAGCATCCATAAGTGACTCAAAGACCCATGACTGGCCAGGGCTGAAACTAGAATCAGCGAGTTTCCAAAGACCACACACAAACTGCCTCCTTCTTAGCCTGGGGTTATTCCTCTGCAAGACAGGTGCCTTAGTTCTCCTCCAAGGTCTTTCCAGTGTCAAAGTTTGTGACTGAGTGGGGTTGGGTTCTGATAGTGCAGCAGTCTGCTATCTCGCACTGTAACTCAGTTGCATTCAGAGCAAACCCTGCTCTTTCTTCTGCCCAAGATTCCCCGTTCATGAAGGCTGGTCCCCACCTCCCATTGACCCGACCCCCTCACTTCTCGTCACTCTCTTCTGTACCATGCTAGAAATTCTTGCTTTCATCTCCCAAACCTGCTCATGCCTCATCTCCTTTCTTGACAACTTCTTTCTTTTTTTCCTCCAACCTATGTTTTCTTCCTCAAAATATCCCTGTGTAAAAACTTGCCTTCTCTTTTTCCGGGTTTATCTCATTTATATCTGAAAGCTTTCCTGGTTAAATAAACTATCTGGACAGCTTTGAAAAAGTCACTTTTCTCTGCACTCAGTTTTTACTTGTGAGAATGAGAGCTCTGCATGACATGGTCTCTGCAGGCCCTTCCAGGGCCGGTGGTCTATGATCACAAATGAGTCTCAGATCGCTTCCTTTCCCCTGTATTTCCTTAGCAGCTGTGGGCTTTGTTTTTTATGTGAGGTCAATTTGCTGTCTCCACCATACTACTTTGTTTTTATTCTTGGGCTTTTGCCACATGCGACATTTAGGTGGTTCCAACTAAACTGTCAACTCTTGGAAAAAAGACTTCTTCCTTCGTCTCCACTCCACTGCTCTCCCTGCCCAGGGACTACCCATGCACTTGGGCTTCTTCAAATGTTGGACAGATGACAAGTCTCATCCACAGCCTGGTCTTTCTGCTGTTCCTGCCATATTGCTGACACTGGCTTTTTGAAAAATATTTTTATTAACCCGTTAGTC